ATTAGAGACAAGTAGAAAGAACGTATCAAGAAAACATAAATACTTCACAGGAGGAGATATATAGTATACTGCAACTAATTCAAACAACAATAACTTTAAACCACAAAGAAATCCAAAATAACTTTGAAAATATAAATCAATCTATTTCTAAGTTAACTTTACAACAAAAAAATTCCCAGAGAAAGAGCAGATAAAACAGATAAATGGATATAGAATTGAGAATAGTGACTAAAAGATGGAACTTAACAAAACAAGGAAACATAATTTAATCCTAGTGGGGGGAAAAATCACAAGAATTGGAAAAAACAACTTATTCCTTAAGACTACAAAATAAATCTGAGGACAAGAAAACAGATTGGATAAAATGAAATGTAGAAATGTAAGGAACATCAGAGAGAAAGGAAATGATAAGAGAAGCGGAGAAAAAGAAAAAGATTTTCAACAAACATGGAAAGGCAGAAGCTCTGTACAAAGACACTTTACCTGGTTTACTTTTTATTTAATTGTTATCTATCAAAACAATAAGAATTGTATTAACTCAATGTTTGCAAAAGAGGATATTTTGGGAAAAGAGGAAATCAACTAAAACCATTATGTGTATTATAGATTATAGAAATCAATTGTTAATGATTGTTTTACAAATGTAATCCAGACAACACACTGTTCACCAATTATTAAGTGATTTATGGTTTTTTTTTAAAAAAATCAATAAAATAATATATTAAAAAAAAGAAAAACTTTCTTGACATTTACTTTGGGGCAATAAAAGCAGCAGCAAAATGTAGCCATTTGTTTTGCTCTTATTGTATCTGCAGATAAGTGGATTACTGCATAGTTTAGGTAACCTGTCTTTCTTGGGGAAGGAGGCAGTGGAAACAGGCACTGTGAAGACTAAACTAGGTATCTGTCAGATAAATTAGTTTTATACCTTCTGAGAGATTCTGCTTCTGTAAAGGATACTGTGAGTTCTAGTTAGACATGAAATTTACTAGGGAATGTTTAGTGTGATTACCTGGGAAGAATTTGAACCCATTTATCCTGAAAAAATGGATAGGATCCTTAGTATTATGAGTACACAAAACTGCTAGGTGATGTCATGTCTCAATATATGGCCCAGCATTATTCAACATGCTGCTGCTGCTGTTGATGATGATATCCAGTTGTACATTTCCACCATGGTCTGACCAAGTCATGCCGCCAAGGTTCTCTCTTAGTGTCTGGAAGCTGTAGGAATCCGTATCGGGAAGAACAGGCTTTGATTCAATCCAAGCAAGACTAAGAATCTCTGTCTTTTGAGTTTCTCCAGCAACTGGGATTATCCACTTTTGGTTCTAGTCAGGGAGTGTAATCCAGGGGTCCTCTTGGACTCTTCACTCCTATCAGATTAGCTATAGCCATTGCACAAATTCATCTTGTCTTCCAGTTGTGTCATTCGTAGATTTAGAGGCCTATTCACTGGCTCCCTATAAACTTCCAAGTGTAATTTATCTATCACTTATAAGTCTCTTCATGGTTGGATTATTAACAGGACTGTCTATCCAGCATGCTTCAAGTCCCTTCTATGAAACACCTTCACCTGGTGTAAGTTAGGTGACATGCCTTCTCTAACATACCTGCTCTATGGACCAATATTCACCCTAGATTCAAATGGGCCTTTTTCTGATAAAACCTGGCTTTTCACCCTAGGTATTGGGCCAGAGTATGGGAGGAGCCAATGAAGAACTGAAAGAAGTTGAATGGAATATACTGTGGATGATCCACTTTATTTTGTTCTGGATATTTGCTTTGCTTTGTTTTGGGACTCTTTGTTTTTTATTCTTCTAATTATCTGTAAGCTGCCTAGAGCTGCTTTTGAAAGTTTAAGGGTCATATCAAGCATATAGATAGAGAATAAAAGGATAGCTAGCATGAGAGAATCAATTTGTATACTGTTAAGGTAGCAGATTAGAAACTGGGATACTGTGAGTTCTAGTTTTGCCTTAGACATGAAGCCAGCTGGGTGACCTTGGTCCAATCATTCCTTCCAAGCCCTAAGAAAGAGGCAACAATGGCAAATCACTTCTGAAATGTTGAAATCTTGCCAAGAAAACTGCAGGGACTAATTCAGGCAGCTGCCAGGAATCAGTAATGACTTGAGGAACCAAAATGAAAGTAATAGAGCCAGTTTGGTCTAATTGTTTAGTCACCGGGCTAGAAAGTGGGAGACCATGAGTTCAAATCCCATCTTAGTCATGAAAACTGGTTGAGGGACTTTGGGCCAGTCACTCTCACAGCCCAACCCCCTCAAGAGTTGTTGTTATGAGGAAAAGAGGAAGAGGAAGGAGTATTGTATGTCCTCTGCCTTGAGTTGTTTGTAAAAATAACAAAGGCAGGATATAAGCAAAGAAATAAAGGAGGCAGGTAGTAGTAATTTTCCATTTGAAAGCCTTTTGAAAAATACAGATCCACATTCTAACGGGTAGACAAAATCAATGGATTAGGGCAGTTTTGTAGATTTGCTTTAGAAACAGAAATAGAAACAGAGTCCAATATGAAGTAAATATATTCATGACACTCATCTTTTTTCCGCCCTTTCTTTTCTGCTGAAAGTTTTGAATAGTAACAAATAAACATAATTCATTTATTCTGGGTTTTCATTTATTACTGTACATTCAGTACTCTAGGATTTTTTTCATTCCCTTGTTTTATTATGCATGTTTGGCTAATGTTTCTGTACAGTAGTTGAGGAACACGCCTAAAAGCATTCTTTAAATTCTTCCTGCAAGTTGTGCAAGCTCTGATATCAACACACATTTATCTTTGTTTTTAACTGAGTGAACAGCTATCACTTGCAAGCCAGAATCTGCTTTGCTGTATTGTACTGATTAATGAGTTATCATGGTAAATCTTCTGAAGCATTGCTCCAGGATGAGGTATTTTTTCTACAAAACAGTTATAAGATTAATTAATTAATTGATTGAGAGTTATCTGAAATAATTCTTGTTTGTTTTGCTAACACAACAGAACTTCTTAATAGGTTGTGCTCCCTTATAATTTTTGCCAACTAGATATTCTTACTTGAGCCTCAGTCTCCTCCAAATATATTCCTATCACGAATCTATGAATTCCATTACTTCAAAAATTCAGACCCTGGGAGCTATAAAGGCATGTTTTATTTTTTCCCCTATAAAAATACTTAAATAAGATCAGAATTTCTAATGTAATCCTACCCCCTGGTACCAACAATCTTCCTTAAATCCAAGGACCAAAGTGGACTCTAAGGGACACTTTCCAATTCCCAATAGGACAACTTTCTCCAATCCAGGTCCTTGAGATGAATAGGTCTACAACACCCATTATGCAGTATCGCATAATAAAAAATAATAGTTCAGTTTCTAATGTGGGTATCAGGTTGCAGCCTGTGATTGTTAGTTTCTGAGAGAAGGACCAAAAGCCACAGATTGCTAGATGTTTCCTTGATGAAAGACGTTAAATATAAAGAAGTAAATATGAATATTAATCTGTACATTATTATTTTTTGAAACTGAATTACTGGACATTTTGAAGAAATGCTACATCATCTCAATGGCTATCAGTATTATTTTTCCAGAGGAAGTAGAAAAGTATGTTCTTTTTTTTCAAACATGAACAATCACTCAAATGTCCATTTGATGTAACATGAAACTAGTTTGACAATGGTAATATTTAAGGATGCAAAACTTTCTTGTGTCTTGTTTAAAAAGAGTTCATGTGGGAGAAAGAAGAACTGGTAAAAGATGGCTTTACATTAAAATGAATAGAAAACAGTAGGTAAAAGACAGTTCTTCAAAGTGAATGAACAAATTAATAGGTTGTTCAATTGTTGTTTTCATCTCTAGAGTCTTCAGTGTTTTAGCAAATAACTGACCTTGTGTTTTAGCCTGGAAACAGCACGATTAAATGTGGTTAGTTCATGAGTGGGTGAACACCAGGAAGTTCCACAACTGTAGGCTACACTGGCAAATTGGAAGAATCCAATTGCAAGCAACTTTTGCATTGTTGCTTATAAAACTGCATGATTGTGTCCATGTAAACACTAGAATAGGAGAGTATGAAATTGATTTAGCTTTAGAAATAAACTTGATCCCTTCTCTTCCCTTCCCTTCCTTTTATGACCTCAATTGGGACCGAAGCTTCCATCACTAAGCAATATGGACATTAAGTGAATCACAGCCAATTTCACAACCTTTTTTTCCATGGTTGTTAAGTGAATCCAACTTCCCCCACTGACTTTGCTTGTCAGGTCACAAATGGCAATAACACGATTCCATTATGCTTCAACCATGACAAATACATGCTAGTTGCCAAGCACCTGAATTTTATTCATGTGACTATAGAAATGCTACAATAGTTGTAAATGTGAGGACTGGTTGTAAGTCACTTTTTTTTTGTACTGTTGTAACTTTGAATGGTCATTAAATAAATTGAGAACTCTGTATACAAGAAACCCTGCCAGTACTTGAACAGTCTGTGTTCTCAAATATTAACTAGCATCTGGCATTCAAACCAAGTTCTGCCTTTTTGCTGAGTTTTCCAGATTCTTATTTCTCATAAAATGACAACTTCTGAAGATTCAACAAAGGGTTGTAATCTCACCTTTACCATTTTGAAAAATATATCCTAAAAAATGAATAATAGCAGCCTCACTTTTGCAGGGCTGAGACAGTTTTGAAATAGGGAAGGCTTCCAATTATTAATCCTTATTTGCTAATTTAATTTTCATTTTATCCTACAGCCCTATGTCATTAAAAAGGCAGGGCCTATAAATGGACCAATAACCATATGGTGAATTTGGGTAATTCAAATTCTTTGCTAGGCCAAACATCATACTTGGTAAGAGAATAAAACATGTACACTGTGTTTGTTTAGACTTTAGACCTTTCAGTTTACAGTCAGTCCATTAAAGATGCAGGGAGCTACGATTAATAGTGCATCTTTCCTGTTGTGATGGAGAATTGCTGTTTTCTTGTTTGCACTTGTAGTGGATGCAAGAGTGAGTGTTGGCCTGGACAATGCAGCTGTTTCTTCCCAGAAAACAATGGAGATAAGCTCCAACTCTGAGGCCAGTGGAAATAATCTCGGGAAAGAAGCCAAACCAATCCCACCAGCTGCCAAATCTCGTTTTGCCATTGCATTTTCACGGTCTGTACCAGGACGTACTGAAGCGCAGGCGACAAATTCATCCGTTGGATCAGCTCAACTTGATGTCAGCTCAGAGGCGGCTCAAGCAAACAAAGCATCGAGTGAAAACAGGGAGCTTTCGGTGGCAGCTGCAGCAGAGAAAGCGTCTGATAAAAACCTAAGTGAGGCATCTCACAGTGAAACTGAACTCTCAGCAACAGCTAAAGAGGAGAATGTCCCTTTACCAAAGTCCAAAGAGTTAACCTTTTTGGACAGACTCTTCAAATTGGAAAAAGGAAAACCTAAGAGCAGAGAACAGGAGCAAAGTCAACAGGAGGTGACTGACAGCAATCTAGAAGTAGGCCTCTCCTCAGAAGAACCTGCAGGATTACAAAGCACCTCAGATCATGAATCACAGGGAAAGGTAAGTATAGAAATTTGAACTGGGTGGGATAATTAATACCAGAGAAGTCAGAAATCAAATTCAAAAATATCCTAACAGATTGGAGAATTGAGCTTAAAATAACAAAAAAAGTAGAGACCAATGCAAATTTATTCATTTAGGAAACAGAAAAACACATGCCCAAGCCCAATATTCGGAGGGAGAGGGTTCCTGGCTTGGTTTAAAAAAAATGCAAAACAGATCTTGTAGTTGATTACAAACTGAATATGAACCATTTGTGTAATATAGAAGCAGTAAAATCAAGGACAGTTTTAAACTACATCAAGTGAAAGGTAATTTCCAAATCCCAGAAAGTATTCAAGTTATTTTCTTGAATACAGAGTCTAGTTCTGCACATTGCAGTTTAAGGATTTAGAAAAACTAAAAAAAAAAAAAAAGGTTCAAAGAAGAGCAATGAGAATGATCAGAAGATGAGCAATTAAACCTTATGAGGAGAGATTGAAGGAATTGGGATTTATTCAGCTTTGAGAAGGCCAAGAGAGTCAAGACAGAATCTCTCAAATACCTGAAAGGATATCCTATTTATCAAAGGTCAAAAATCTGTTGTCCATTGTCAAATAATGGATTTTTGCCATTGCAAGATAGTTCTCAATTATTATTTTTATTATTATAATTTTTAAATCTTCCTGACTGTAAAAGCAATGCAACAGTGGAACCAGTTATTCATAGAGATGACCTTTTTCCCTAGAGGCATTTAAAAATTTAGACACACAATGAATATCTCTTTTATTCCTGATGACTTTCGTAAGATGTTCTTAGGGAAAACAAGATAGTTTCAGATTAATGAGGTGGAACAATGCTTGAGGGAGAGAAATAAATAAGACCAGCCTTGTCATTAGGCAGAGTGATTAGTTCGGTCATTTTTTAAAAAAATAAAACATGGAATCCTAGCTGCTTCAATAAGATTTAGCGAGTTACAAAGATGATTTTTTAAAAATAAACATCCTAATTGCACCCCACTTTATATATAACAGCATAAACAATGTTGTAGAAGAAATGATTATCCTGTGAATTAAATATTCCTCATTTTACATGACTGCATTCATACATCATGGTAAGAAAAAAATGTTAAAGCTAATGGTTTATAGTTGTAGATCATCAATTAGACAAAAAAGTGAGCCCAGCCAATGGTGGCTTATTCAGCAAACCATGACTTAGTACAATATATAAACCCAATGTATGGTTTAGTACTTCTCCATTTCGTTGATTTCAATGGTAGGTTCCTATGATGAGGTGAAGATCCTAGGCTGATACTGGACATTGCAGGAAATTCAGTCCCCTGTCCTTTGCCACTGAGACTGTACACTCTACAAACCTTATTCTCACAAAGCCCAATTGCAGTTTCTACATCACTGAATTGTTTCCAAAATATCCTCACAAAATCCTAGCAGTATCATCAGCTTCATGATCCTTGCCTCTTCTTTTCTCATAACCAGTTCTTCTGCCTCTTGCAACTTCATTCATCCTTTTCCTTTCTCTCAATCTGGCGGAGATCACCTGTGACAAAAATGGAAGTGTCAAACAGAGTACAAATAAGCCTTCCTTGAAGTTAAGTTTTCAGTAGGAGAGGATTGCATCTTGAGATGCAGTGTTTCTCAGCCTTGACAACTTGAAGATGGTGGACTTCAACTCCCAGAGCAGAGCTAGCTGGGGAATTCTGGGAGTTGAAGTCTGCCCATCTTCAAGTTGAGAAACACTATGCTAAACATTCTGAAGCATTGAGAATCCTTGTTTAGAAGCTTGGAAAATATTACAAACTTTCATGCCTGGAAAGATTGCTGCACAAGCCACAATAAGAGGAATGGGATCTTAAGCTTCTTATGTTGCACTTCTTATTTCAAAGCAGCAGGTTGTAGCGTACGCATGTTCAGATAGCCTGAAGTTGATCTTCCATGTAAAAAAAAGAAAAAACTTTTAATATTTTTCCCAGCTATATTTTGTTTGACTTTATATTCAGATGAAGAAGTCTGATAGAAAAGCCACACCTCTTATAATAAAGACTCCTTTGGTTGGGCTAATGGCAAGAACCCCCAATTTTATAGACTGCATATTTGTCCAGAAAGTCAAATTATTAGATAGAATTGTAATTGTCTGCATTTTGTTCTAGGCACTGATCACTCTTTAAGTAAACTAAGGCTTATAGCTTTTGAGGAGAAAATCAATTTTATTAATCACATCAACGCTTTTTTTCCACATGCCAACAAACAAACAACATCCCTGGAAAGAGGAATGGAGGGAGATGCTCCTATTTTAGGGGAGTGTCCTGGAGCTAGACAGACATTCTGTGTTTGGTTGAACCATGGCTTTCTTTTCAGGCATCACAAAACTACATTCAGGAGGCTACAGAATTAAAACAAGGGCAGGATTCACTGCATGGATAGAGCAGTTGCTATTCAGGCCAAGGTAAATGGTTTGCTTGAAATATTGGCCATAGCCATGTGAATGTGGTCCTGGCAGAAGGGATCATTTTCATAAATCTCCTTGTCTATACCTTCGAAGACTAGGAGTTGTACCAGGGTGTATGCTGGGGGCAGGAGAAGATAAAACAGAATGGCAGCTGGGAGTGCAAAATCAAAAGCTTGCTCTCTTTTGCATGTGTCAATGTTTGTTAAAAAAAGAAAAAGGCTGGGTTTAAATTTCTAAAGTTATGGCCACCAACTTGACTTTTATTTGAAGGTACCCTTGATTTATGATTATACCTACCTTAGGATATTTATAAAGACCAATAAATTTCACTAACTAACTAACTAACTAACTAACTAACTAACTAACTAGTGTACTCAGTATGCACAGAAAATTCAATATGTAAAAGCAACTTTTTTGGGTCAGTACAGATCTATAATGAAAAAGAGAGATTGATAATCCAAAAAAAGGACTTACTAATCATCTTTTTATATCTCTCTTTCCATCTATCCCTCAATATAGATAGTCCTCGATTTACGACCACAATTGAGCCCCAAATTTCAGTTGTTAAGTAAGACAGTTGCTAAGTGAGTTTTGTCCCTGTTTTTTGCTGCAGTTAAGTTAATCACTGCAATTGTTTGGTTAGTAATACGGTCATTAAGTGAATCTGGCTTTTCCATTGACTTTGCTTGTCAGAAGGTCAGAAAATGTGATCACATAACCCCAGAACACTGCAACCATCATAAATGTGAGTCAGTTGCCAAGCATCTGAAGTTGGATAATGTGACCATGGTAACTGTGAAAAATGGTCATAAGTCACTTTTTTCAATGCCATTCTAACTTCGGTCACTAAATGAACTGTTGTAAGTTGAGGACTACCTGTGTATCCCCAAAGTTTTTCTGTCTATGCATTTCCAAGTTTAATCACTTTCCATTTCTAAAATGCACAATTAGGTATAACAATGAGCTTTTTCTGCTGTAGGCCTTGCCTTATGGAATATTCTCCCTTCAGAGATTAGAATGGCCCCAACCCTGTTGGCTTTTCACCAAGCTTTAAAAATTTGGCTACACACCCAGGCCTTGTTCTCTGAATGTGTTAAGGGCCCTGTTACATAGCTTTACTATTTGCTGATTAATCATCATGGCTGCTGTTTGTACTAATTATTGTATTTATTTATTGCACTTATGTCAATAAGTGATCCTGCACCTTGGGGAACAGCATGAGGTGGCCTTTTTGGCAGTGACGGCAGTAGGACTGAAGCTGAGACTTTTTCTTTGGTGGAGAGGCATGTGTGCCACACCATCAGAGTCAAGTTATGCATTTTCCGCTGTTTCCAAAAGGTTCACCATTACTGATCCAGATTCAGTCATTTTTCTTCTCCTCTCTCTCTCACGTTTCTTTGTCTGTCCAACATGGAACTATACATCTGTACAAAATTTACAATTCTTGTGAAAATTTTCCAAAATTCCTACAAGTCTTGTTAGCTTTTCTGAAATCAGTTTTTAGTTCTTCATCATATTCAGATTTTTCTTTCATCTGATATTCCCAATTGCTGGATTTAAACTTTTAATCATTTCTAACCTACCTAAAGAATGAGGGAAGAAAAGTGTTCTATAATAAGTAGGCAACTAGAATTACTGTTCAGATTTGGGAAGGGTCTATATGTGAAATTCCCAGCTCAGGAATTCATTTTACAAAATAACTTCCACCTGTGTCTTTATCTAATCAGCCGATCATCATCATAAAGATGAAATGGAAGAATGTCACTGGTAATTTTTTTTAAAAAAAAATCCAATTCTGAAATGTTACAATGAAAAATTGTAAAATCAGTTAGATTCCAAAATTATTTATTCATTTAAAATTTCTATATCGCCTATCTCACCTAAGTGACTACTAAATAATTAGACTGTTAAACTTGGTTAACCATCTAATTACTTAGATCAGGGATGAGGAACTATGGCCCCTTTATGACCATGCTGGCTCAGAAATTCTGGTAGTTGAAATCCACAGGTCATAAAAGGGCCATAGTTCCCCATTCCTGACATAGATGGTTAAAATAAGTGTTTTATTTTAAAAATCTGTTATTCCAGGCTGGGACTCTTGGAGGTTGGATAATAATATAATTACCCTCTGATTATACCTGTCCCTTCCAGTAGTTGGACATTTATTCATTCAATTAACCAAATAAAAGAAATGTCATATTATTTTCCTTCTTGAAAAATTATAGTATATAATTCTGAGACTTTTGTGACAAAGGTTTAGTCACCAATCAATTTCCTGTTAAACAAAATACATGGATAAAGATAATAAAGAACAAAACTTAGATGAAAAGTCCAAATATTTAAATGATTATTTGAAGAATGCCTATTGTTTAAATCTTTATCAAACTTTACTTGAAAATCATGGAAGTCTAGGATTCTCCCCTTCCACTGATGTATTATAGCCAGACTTTCCTCATTACTGAGGACTAGTAACATTTTGGGGAAGAAATGAGAGATAATACTAGGGTACAGGTCATGTTACAAGCCATATAATCTCTATTAGAAAGTCATAATTT